CGGATTTTATTAAGCAAATTATGTTATAACGTATAGCGAAGGAAGTAGGTCGATCCAGGCAGTAACGGCGGAGAACCAGAATTTTGAATATTTAAATAGTGAAAAATCATGCGAAATTTCCACTGTTATAAATCTGTTGTTTGAAGATGTCAGCAGTTGCGACTTCATAGGTTTTAAGGAGTAGATGTTGCTCTATCAGCTAGTGAAGGAATCGGGTCGATTTAAGAGATAGTCGTTGAAAACCAGAGTTCTAAAACTTTACGCCATTTTTGCGTGTTTTTTGACTGTTGAGAGTTAAACTCTTATAAATCTTGAATGTGGATGTGTATGATGTTGCGACTTCATAGGTTTTATAGAGTAAGGTTTGCCTTATCAGAATATGTCTTGTCCGTTCCGATCCATTGAAACACCTCCGAGATCCAGAGTCATGAAAAAGCAGGTAAAAAAGAGCTTTTTGAACTTCAACAGCTCATAACTTCTTCAGAACTGCATGAATCATGTTGCGACTTCATAGGTTAGATTCCTCTCATCAAGGGCTTTCAGATGATATATAATATGTGGGGGTTTAGAGCCTCCTGCGAATTATGACCGGGGGGGGGAGACTTTTTAGGCCAAAGTCTCCCCCTCGCCCATTTTAATGTATTGGCTGGAGGCTGCAGGGGGAGACTTTGGCCTAAAAAGCCTCCCCCCCGGGCATATGCCGTAAGAGGCGCGAAACCCCTACATATTATATATCATCTGAAAGCTCTTGACGAGAAGAATCTAACCTATGAAGTCGCAACATGATTCGTGCAATCCTGAAGAAGTTATGAGCTGTTGAAGTTCAAAAAGCTCTTTTTTACCTGCTTTTTCATGACTCTGGATCTCGGAGGTGTTTCAATGGATCGGAACGGGCAAGACATATTCTGATAAGGCAAACCTTACTCTATAAAACCTATGAAGTCGCAACATCATACACTTCCACATTCAAGATTTATAAGAGTTTAACTCTCAACAGTCAAAAAACACGCAAAAATGGCGTAAAGTTTTAGAACTCTGGTTTTCAACGACTATCTCTTAAATCGACCAGATTCCTTCACTAGCTGATAGAGCAACATCTACTCTTCAAAACCTATGAAGTCGCAACTGCTGACATCTTCAAACAACAGATTTATAACAGTGGAAATTTTGCATGATTTTTCACTATTTATTTATTCGAAATTCTGAATCTCGGCCGTTACTGCCTGGATCGATCTACTTTCTTCGCTGTACGTTATAACAAAATTTGCTTAATAAAATCCGTACAGTCCAACAAACTTCTACTTCCAAATACACCATTTACTAAACACGTCCCTTTTAAATTTTTATAAATAAAATTTATAGATATTTTTAATATTCATCGTATCTGTGGCCCTAAAGAGAGCCGTTGGGTCGACGTTAGACCTAGAAAGATAGCTCCGTTCGTCCGTTCTATCCTCCCCCCGCACCTCCCCCCCCCCCCCCCGTCGACGTTTTTGGGAGGTGAGTGTCCGACACTACCACCTTCACTTTTGGCCGGCCAGTGGTAGCTGAAACCACCTTCACTTTCGGGGGACCCGGCTCCCCCTATCGCACCTCTGTTTTCGACAGGAGGAAATCTACAGTATTGAAAAGTCCAGAGAACGTTTACGAAAGTGTTTTACAATACCGCTCATAATTCTCAAAAAAGTCGCCGGACTGCGGCGCACTCCGCCGGAGTCTGCAGTGCGCCTTCCGCTGGAGTGCAGCGGAGTGCGCCACACTGCATTGCAGTTCGCCGGAAGGCAACGGAGTGCGCTGCACATCACTAAAGTGATGTGAAGAGTGATGTTTTAGAACAAATTCGATCAGACTGACTCTCTACCATACTCCTACGGCATACTTTCTATGTGTCATCAGCGACAAATCAATGACAATACTGTTATCAGCGCACTAAACGATTCAACTAGACAAAAATCTGCAAAATTGAGCGAAAACATATGTCTAGCGTAAACCTATCATATCCTGCTAGATTGTGGGACTCCTATATGATAGATGATGCGTTTCGCCGAGCTGAATTGAACGGTGTCCTCGGATTCAGAATTCGTCCATTCTGAGGCGAGATACGGCGATGCGACGCGGATTCCGACAGACTCTAGTGATGTGCGGCGCACTCCGCTGCTCTACGGCGGACTCTAGTAGAGTGTGGCGCACTTGACAGTTGATGGATTTGTGCAAACCATGGAAAGCGTTCTTTCATGAGAAGGGTTGTAGACCCTCCAATGATTATAATCAAGACAACTCGCTTCGCTAAAAAATCGTCTGAAATTTCATCATTGTAAGGGCCCGCTTCATTCATATACACTCACTAATCATATGAATGAAGCGACTCTCTTACAATGATGAGAAATCCTCAAATCCAACGTTGGGGAAAAGAGGGGACTTTTCAGTAGAGTTTCCTGACAAAGTTTGTTCATCTTTTCCCCTGACGTTGGATTCGAGGATTTGAGATCTCATATTGTAAGAGAGTCCGCCTTCATATGATTAGTGATGTGTTCGTTTGAGTACTCGAATCCAACGTCCGGGAAAAAGATGGATAGACTTTGGCGGGGCAATCTCTCTTGGAAAGTCCCTTCAGGACTTTTGGGTAAAATGGGAAGGTGTGAGAGGGAACGATATTCCACGGTGGCATATGCAAATGTTGATATATTTATTCAATCAGCATAGGTGGGGACGATTTGATAACGGTTGCCGACCAATATAAAACAGACACGTGAGACTGTAGTGGAGGACCCCGGAACCTACGCTGCGGAGCGGTAGTTCATCTCCAGGACTCCTTTCATCAATCACTGCTGGTTTATTAATGTTAATAACTGTAACATAAAAAGGCCCAACTCTTACTCTCTGTTTTGGCGATTGAAAGCCTGTTGCACGGTGAAAATTTTCTCGTCAGAAAAGAGGATCGTTCAGTGGCGTGCCTTGGAGAAGCGCTCAAGCCATCGACGACACCTGTGAAGTCCGATCAGCTTCATATTGTTCTAAAGTGCGCGGGTTTTCTGCATCCTGTAGAGCTTCATCCTAAAGTTCACTTTCACAATGTCCGAGATGGTCCTACGACTGGACAGCTCTGATGCCAGCTCATTCAAGCTTCTCTGCGGATTACGTTGTATGACCCGCTTCCAGATTCGTGTGAGGCGGTTTGCGGACTTCCCTGATTTCAAAGGCAGCGGCTCGGCAAAACGATATCCCGAAATTGTAATGTAGAAGGTTGCTTGCATCCTTCCAAACATCATAACGGAGCAGTTCCGAGCGCACTACATGCTGTGCCTGCCTAGAAAACTGCCTCTAAATCGTGCGCACAAGCCATTTTTACACGCTCTCGGACGAGTTTGCGATCCCCTCCCAACCGTCAGAGGCGGCTTGCCGCAATGCTATAAACATGAGGGTCCTCCAAGGACTCTACGTCTCTAACCATGGCGGGGAGTAGCCCACTCGTCCAAATTCAAATTGAAGACCTTTGGAAAATGTTGGTTTTCGACATTTTCGTGCTCTTCAAAGTGTATTTTCGAAATCAGCGCGTCGAATTACCCCAGGTAAGCGATAAAACTTTGAGTCGAGGATTTGCCGAGCCCCTGCCTTTAGGGATAAGCTTAACGAGAGAGTACGAAATACAATGCTATAGAGCGAAGGTTTAACAAGTTTATTTTGAAAATCAGGGTAGTCGGCATCCCGCCTCTACACAAATCTGAGAGCCGATGATATGCGTTCTCGGACTATCTTCCGGTTGACGGGAGTATTCGCGGTGGCTGGTCTACCGTCCCTAGGGCGGCCCTGGGTGCTGTTTGCCCTTGTAACGGCGCGGGTTGTACCATACCGTGTTCCGCGGAATCCCGAGTATTCGAGCGATTTGCTCTTGAGACCTTCCTTCCATATGCATCTTCACCATCGCTCGTGCTCTAATTGGGAAGGCATAATTCCGGTAGGATTAAGAAAATCAATCCAATTTTTGGAGAGCTTTTATAGAACACTTCAAAGATCATTTACACCAAAGATAAGATAAGATATGATGTGATATGATAGGTAGCACCTAAACGTTGTTCAAAGACTTCCCCCTTCCCTGTAAAATGGCGAACCCTTGCTCAAAAGATTTTGATAAGCTGCGTCGAATGCGTCCAAAATCTTCCTTGTTCTGTGTGATGTTACGCTCATTTGAGAGGCGAAATTACTTTCGAAACGACCTAATATTTAGATAACCACGCATACAGAACTTTAACTAGAATTGATGGTTTATGAGACAAAACTCTAATCAACCTATTTTTAGGAGCATAAGGCGAGGCTTTTTTCAAACTCGGTCAGCTCAAACACGCTAGTATTTTAGCGATCCAAGGACCTACCTTGTGCGCAATTGAGAGCATCGTAGGGCATAGCGATGGTTTCGCAAAACACAGCAAAGTCACTAAGATGCCCGCATTGAGAAAAAAAAGTAAGGTGTAGGATATTAGCCTCTTCAGCGAAGAACTCAAATAACACTATTCGAAATTCATTTTTCAAAATTATTACTCTTTTTTTCTTACCCTTTTCCTCAAAATATATGGTGAGCCTCAGATTTTAGCGTGACGAAGCCGACAAATTCCGATCAACCTCTATGGATTCAATAAGGCATTTTACATATTGCGAAAGATTTATTAATTATAACTTCAACTTCATGGAGATTTAACAATCTAAAATGAATTGTGTCTCTTCGAACGGAGATGATTTATTAGTGCATGTCACCTATGTTTATTTCTTCGCAACTAACTGGTTCGTAGCTTTCCAAAAAATTGTTCCAAAACACGTGCACCCCTCATGACTGTGAAAGTTCAATGGATGAAGCAGATCAGATCATTTTTTATGAGCTCAGAAACACTGTGTTAGGAAAGACTTCAGAGTAAGATCATGATCGACATTTCAAAACACCGTGTACGAGAAGAGCATTCGTATGTATGGTAGTTGTAATAACCTGCTATCAAAGCCTCAATATTGAATTAAGAATCTACTTCGAAGTTTTCTGTTTTTCCAGGTCTAGTGGACTTTATCGCTGTGGCTACAGTAAATGTTCGCACTTGACGTCTACCAGAAATTGCCATAGCGCTGGATCGGACTTGCTGGTTCCATAGAAGCAGAACAGTAGGATTGACTGACACGTTGATCGTTCCTGAAGCACAACCAAATTTGGTAAAGCAGACAGAGTAGTACAATACCAGGGGTTTTCAGAATATACAAGATATATAAATGGCTATGTTCGGAACATGGTACAAAGATGACACGATCAGGATAAGAATTAAAGTTGCTCGTCAACTTACAAGGGAACGGTCAGAGTCGACGTCCACTCCCGGCAAGCTATATGTCATTATAACTCTCGTAGTAGGCAAAACATGTTCTTCTCTATCTATCAAACTGTCTTTTACCATTATAAGCGCAATTTTGGCCAAAGCTCTCAGCACGTTTTTAACTATAGCCATAAATTTGCGAAGGTAGACGCATGACGCAGTGGTAAGTATGCCTCGAGATCAGGAAGTCAAGAATTTGATCTGTTTCGTCAAGGGACCTCTTTGTTAAGACAAACTACAAAATTTGTAAGTTAGTAAAGCATTTGTACACCTTCAAGGGCCACCAAAAACTTTGAAAATATGATTACCAATCTCGTTTTGACAAAAAAGACTTTTAGCAGGAAAAGGTAATTTTTATAGGCACATATAGAACGCAACAATAAAACCTAGTAAGCACATAAGGAGAGTTTACAATTGTCATTTTAAATGTGATGCCTCGAATGTGTGCCTTTGTCAAACATCCCTCGATGCTTGAAGATAAGTGCAACATCTGCTTCAAAACAGAAAACGAATTTTTCTATTTGATGCCTATAACGCCATCTATTTCTCTTGAAAATTTTCGCGGTATTATGATCAATTTTTTTCCATAAGCGAGTGGTTGAATGTTTCTACTGTTATTTCTGTTGGCAACTGTTTGAATGATATAAAAGTGACAGATAGACTGTAAGGGTATGCAAGCAAAAAAAAATCGAACTCTTTGAAATGCTTACGTGCTCACATTAGCTCACATTCACAACCACTGCTCACATTAGCAGTAAAAATGTGCGTGTTTAATGCCTAGAACTCTTGCAGCTCACACCACTATCTCACTATGAACATATGTGCGAATGGATTGCTTTGATCACTCACCTATAGTATTCATGAGAATTGTACTCCAGTCGCTTCCGTGACCAACCTTAGGAATGATGAAAAACAACAGTGTGGAGAGATATTGGGAGCAGCAAATGACTATGAATTGGAATGCCTGTGGAAATTACTTTTATTCGCAGCAGCAGTTTTCTTGTCACTGACCAACTTGACATCAGCGAATGATTGCCGCTGATGAAAAACACCGTGAGTCTTACGATTACGGTAAACGCTAAAAAGAATAATTGCGTAAGCAGTTATTATGATGAGCGGTATCGATTGTCCGGCATATTGGTTGAAGTCAAGAAAGGAGAATCCCCCTAAATGATACGTTATTCCACAAAAAAAATTTACCCGGAATATCGAACTTACAGAATATTGTACAATTGGAACAATCGAAAGTATACGCCAACGAATAACGATTGTAACGTTTTTGACATCCCAATGCTGTTGAGCCGAAAGTAATGACAATCGGTAGTAGCCATGATAGGATTAATAACATCTCAAAAGGATAAATTTTGATTGAGATCAGAATTGTTTCAAAATTGCTTAGTATGCACTAAACAATCATTGGACATATATGCTTCTGTCAGATTACATCCGACTTGTTCTCTAAGCTTGCAGTGCAGTAATAACCAAAAGTGACGGTGTAAAATTGCTCTAAAACCATAATAAATGCTCATTAGCCGAACATTTTGTTTCACTACTTCACGCTACCAAAAATCACTAATTTCAACACATGGTGTTCAACACACTGACGACCATGCATATTATTACTTGTTTGCCTTTTGGGACGGAAGACTCTTACGGACCACTTAACATGTCTTGGATCAACTTGTGCATGCTGCGATTTACAACGCACCTACAGTAGCTTTTGAGGTTGATATAAACATTGAAGTTGTTCCCGCACGGAAAATTCCTAAAGTAAGTTTGCCAAGAAACTGTCACCTTAATGAGATACAAGTCTTGACAAAACCATGTATGCCGCGTTAATGTGTTGAAGGTGAAGGATTTGGAGCTTTTAGAAAGAAAGCTCAAAACTATAGGCTGCTGCATGGCGAAGGCGCAATATCTTCGGGCGCGAACGCGGCTTTATTAGTCGCGAAGCGCATGAGGTGCGGGATCTACAACGGTGAGGATATGCGCGCGTCCCGTTCGCGCACGCTCAACTAATATCGCCATTGCGCCTTCATCATGCAGCAGCCTTTAATTACCCTGTTTTCCGGCGTATAAGCCGCAATTATCTTCGTCGCGCGCGGGCTGATGTGCGAAGGCGCGCAAACAGCCAACTACCACCTATTTTACCTAGTAGCCTGTTTGTAACTTTCTACTTTCGCTCTTTCTTGTGAAAGCATTGAAAGCATCATTGAAACATCAACATCATCATCAACAATCATTAAAATCGAATAAAATAGCAGCAGTTTTAACCTCAGTGACGTCTTTAAAAACAAAAGATAGCATTGTCAACTCCATTGTATCCTTGAGGAAAAACGAAACCCAAACACCTTAAAATCGTCCAAATTTCTGGGAAGAATAATGAAATACCTGAAGACGTGAACATGCGCAATGAAAAGCGGTCACAAAATGCAGCGAGTTTTCAGTTTGTTAGATCAAAAACTTTCTTTTCGGAGGCTCTTTCGCGCCATTGTTCGCTGCGGCTGGTGCGGCTTATACAAGGTGCGGCTTATAAACCGAAAAATAGGGTACTACACTCGAATGAATAGTTACACACAATAATTATGTTCGTCTTTAACTTGGATGCTGTGGCTCTGCGTGATCTCGCAGACATGAGAACGCTGATGAAAATGAGCTACGTTTCACACAGCATCACGAAACATGTGTTTTAAACAATATACAAACAAGTGCTCTTGATTGGATTTCAAGATGGCTATTTTTCGGTCAACTTTGGAATCCATCAAAAATGTATGATCAGAATCATGTCCACTTTATACTTCGAAAGAATGACACTTTGCGATCAATTGCTCAGATATTGGCCGAGGTCAGGCGGGCCGCAAACTCGCACTTTCTGCAGGCGGTTAGCAGAATTTTGGAACGTGGCCAAACCTTCAGCAAGAGGAACTTCCTTCACGGTAGCATATTCTGCCAGCTGGCAGCAATACAGCATTTTCCGCAAGCACTCTTCAAATAATCTCTTTTAGCGAGCGCTGACCAAAGTTTCAGCAAGCGCTCGGACTCTTTTTTACGCAGTTTCGGGCGTGCGCCCAGCAAAGGTGAGACTCGATGCGGCGGAGGTGTCATCGATGGTGTAATTACCCGAGTTTGTTGTACTCTCTCTTAGCGGAAAGCACCTTTGGGCCGTGCGGTCCTTCACAAAGGACCGTGCGGTCCTCAACGAATTGCATATTCTCGAGGAAAGTCCGCAAGAATGAGGCCAGAGCCGCAACTTATCCATAGAAAGACCGCGATAGTTCTCCAAGCGTTCATCTAAAAATTAGCCAAAATTACTCCAAATTTCTGCAGGTGGACCGCAAGAAACCAGCGAACTATTTTTCCGGTTCCCGCTTCGCATGGTCGCCTGCCCCCAGCGATTGTCTGAACTATTGTAAGTTGCACACAGCTTTACTTCCTAAACTAAAAAAGTCAGATTCAAGCAAAATAAGTTTTTTAAAAATACCGTCCATCTCTCGTTTCTATTCATTTACGCTAGGATAGCATATCAACAGTTTCCGTCTTACTCAAATTCTGATCATGTTGAAAACTTTTGTCTGGTCTTCATGCAAAATAACTATTAGTTGCAGATAGAGCCAGTTTCAAAACTCCCCTTTGGGCGTCACGCTTACATATTAGACGTAGACCTTTTTTTTCTACTAAGTATAGCTTGCGTTTGAGAAGCGATACCCTAATGTGTTAGCTGCCTGGTTCGCGCAAGTCGCCACAAATCGTGATCCTTGACGCCGGGATATTACATTCCGCTTCTGTTGATGCAATGAGAGCAAAGTCCAATTTGAAGTAAGAAGCTGGACTCATGACTCATGAAAATAACCAACCTGTATGCAGTTTCTCCTTTCACCAAAACTGCTTGACATACAGATTCCAAATCTATAGATTGTGAAGGTTAGCGAGGACAGCAAATATGCCCAATATCCCCAAGTGTTCGGAGTTGACATAGCTATCATGAGCCCATCAGATCTACATTAGTATTACGACGCTTCAGATAGTTCGCTATTTCTCTAGAATTTCCAAAAAGTAATACCTTATAAAGGGACACTCATTGATTGTGCATGGAACCGATACCCACAAGTTTGTTGAACAATATACTATGCCCGCTATGATCATATTCAGCACGAAAAAAGTAAAATACTAAAACCAAAAAAATCAAGTTTTCAAAAAGATATTTGGTTACAGGCCTGTGATCGGAATGTTGATCTCCAATGGCATATGAATACGGTGAGCAGTGCTAAATTACTGATCACGCCAACGAGAGTGAAGAATAAGATTATAGTTGCGATCGAGGGCCTAAAAACTGACGATAGTTTTCCCAGAAAAGAGGTATACAAGTGTAGTATACAGTATGATATACAAGTACCAAGGAACTTTTTGGTTTTGTGAATTGAGCTGCGAAATTTTTACCGATAGTTATTGCTTCACATCATTTTCAACGTTCGATACCAGGCCTGAATCAAAATTTGGGCAACTTTTTCTTTTTTATCGCTGAAGGTTTCGCAAGTGCTTCGCATTGCATTGTCGATTATGATTGGCATTGAAATTTATTGAACGAAAATCATAAGTATCATTTTACGCAGTAAATTCATAGTTTCCACAATAAAGGAGCTCAATCTAGGGGTTTACTTCCTTTCCCGATACATATGCTAGTTCCAATTACCTTTAGTAAATATAACATTGCGATGTGTTTGTTGAGGTGATTTCGCCTACCAAGACTATTATGTTATCGTAGTCCATTCATTTTGAGCATTGAGATGCATGGGATTTACGTAAAACCGTGTGCGCAACAGGCACTCAAAAATGCATTGCCACTTCTAACATCAAAAAGCGCTCGTTGCCCGACAGACATACATAGGTTGTTTGTAGTACACGACTGCACATCTTCAATACCCACCCACAGGCAAGATGACATTGTCGGCTCTATGTGATTCGGAATCATTTACGTTATAATACGAAATCTGCGTGCACAATACCGGAGTGACAAAAAAGTCCTATGTTTTAATTAAGGAACAAAGTCAAAAAGCACCCCTTTCCACACATAGCCAACACCGCCATTTGCAGCACCACGATATCCTGAACAGCCAAATGACATAGTAGTATTTTGCTTGAAGTTTATCTTTGATGAGCTGAGCAGTTCATTTCGTCGCTGTCTACAACAAGCTAATATAGAATATGTCGTCAGAGTCATCGATATACCTACTGCCAATCTCAAACCCGTCTGATGCGTAGTAGCGCTTACGATCTTTTGTGCTCAAACTCAAACCATGTAATTTGTCCTTCGACTTACAAGGGGATTGTATATCACCCGGAATAGGTTTACCTCAGAGATGTTTACTTTGGTAAGACCGGCTGCCCTTTTGTTCAAAAAAATTTTTTTTGACTAATCACAGGAATCGAAGGCAATTACACCTCGGTTCGCACCGGATATCGCGGCATGTAAGAGGATCGCAATCAAGTAGACTTATGCCATATCAATCCTTCGTGGATCGGATAATAATGATCTTGAAAGGCATATATAAGAGAGCTGACGAAAATTTACATCAATACGCGAAAATCAATACACAATGTAGCTCATGTGTTGCCAATCGACGTAAGCACCCACTGTCGTGGTTTGCCCAGTCGAATGCCAACCTGTTTCTTTTGTTGGCGCCTGAGAGAATGGTACATCTGACTTCGAGTTTCCAACCTCTGAAGAAGGCGGGTTCGCCGAAAATTTGTTACAGTAATTTTGATTAAAGCAATACTACACAGATATCTCAACCATGCCGAGGACAAGCAAACGTGGTAGGATGGTAATTAATTCTGAATGATTCAGTGCACGCTTTCCATGTATATACAACCTTTACTCTTACTTTATTTAGCATAAGCGAATTTTTCTAGCAAGGGAAGCTATCCAACTTAGCTCGGCCTTTTGGCAAGGGACATATATATTCTGAATCAACTTCAAACGCTGATTCCAAATGTGCTATTCCTAGCTGCCCCGCACCATTCCGAAGCGAGTTACGGATTTTTTTCTGCGCGAAATCGGCATACTCATCGACTCACTGCCATCATGGCATCATCACCTAAGTGATAATGCACTTGCGTTAAGCTTCTTTTTAGTGAAAAAAAAATTAGATTTTCAGCACCTTTTTCTTGCAGATTTTCATCTACAGACAATCTTCCCATGTTCAGCAGTATGCCACTTTTGCGTAGGAAAAAGCCATAAATCGCTTCGGAATGGTGCGCTGCAGCTAGGGGTAGCACATTTAGAATCAGCAGAGCTAATTTAGAACGTGTCTGTCCCTTGCCAAAAGGACAAGCTAAGCTAGGTATTTT